TGATCCCAATCGAACTTATTGGATGACAATGAAAAGAGTTTTGGGGTATTTAAAACATACTCAAAACTATGTCCTGCATTATAATAATATCCAGCAGTATTGAAAGGATATAGTGATGCAAATTGGATCACTGGGATCAAATGAAGTAAAATCCACGAGTGAATATGTATTTACTCTTGGTGGATGAGCAGTCTCTTGAAAATCTTCCAAAAAGACATGTATCGCTAGCTCTACAATGATCTCTGAGCTAGGTGCTCTAGATAAGGCCGGTGAATAAGTTGAAAGACTCCGGAATTTCTTGATAGATATTCTTTTTTTTTTTGCCCAAACCATTGGCATCAGTATGCATACACTTTAATAGTCAAGATGCAATAGGTAGGGCATGAAGCATGATGTATAACGAAAAGTCTTGTCATATAAGACATAGACATAATACCGTTAGAAAACAACTACTCTCTACTGAAATTATCACAATTGACTAAGTAAAGTCAAAGGATAATGTGTCAGATCCACTTACAAAAAGGCCTAACTAGAGAGAAATTTGAAAGATCATCTAAGAGAATGGGTTTACGGCTTAGGACAAGTTATTATGGCGGCAACTCTATCTAGCAGACTAGAGATCCCAAGAGTTAGATTCAAGGAGAAAAACAAAGTTGTGACTGACGGTTCGACATTGTCAATCAATTCAATCCATTCTCATGATGAAGACAATGTTCAGGAACGAGGTTATAACATTAAGGCTTGTTAATGAGTTAATAAAGCTTAATGTTTTTAATGATTTGCTAAGTTTGGCAAACTTGACCAAATAGTGTATCCACGCGATGACACAGTTAGAAATCACCTATGTGAGTGTGAAGTGTAAGCCGCTTCAAAGAGAATTATTGTCAAAAGCCTATTCTCTATACACTCATGAAACCAGGAGGTGTTCATGGCTGAAACGAATACAACTGTAAGATAAACGGTAAAGGGTTAATTGTGTGACATATGGTTGTCTAGGTATACATCTAAGCTCGACGGTTCAAAGATATCGCATTTACCGATTGACCGAGTATTCCGACATATGTTCACTACGGAAAGTCCAAAGGGAAACCTACTTATCCAGATGCAATTAAATTTTGCTTGTAAAGTACACATACTTGTCCGTTTCTTTGTCTTGGAGTCATTCCCCATTCATGCAGGGGATTGTTGGGTTTTAAAAGGTGTGAATGGAAAATGAAGAGTTGGGACTTTTATGAATAGTTGTGACTTTTATGAAGAGTTGCGACTTTTATGAAGAGTTGTGACTTTTATGAATAGTTGTGACTTTTATGAAAGGTTGTGACCTTTTCGATAGATTGTGACTTTTCCAAAGGTTTGTGACCTTTCCGATAAGGCACAATAAGAACTTTTTCACACTACCCTTTGTTTTCTAAAAATTGAGGGATTTCCACTCATTTTAGGAGAACTAATTTTTTTGGACTTCTTCTACTATTACTATTAAGTTTAGTATTTTAAGTGTATTTTACTGCTGTTGAGTGGTTCACTGACACCATGGTTTTAGGTACCAATACACCGGTGAGTAAGATCGTTCTATTCTAGGAGGATATATTTCATTAACCTCGGGTACTTGAGGGGAATAATTTCCTTAAGGGGACACTGTGCATTCAGTTGGCTCAATTTTCTTTCTTTGAGAAAAATTATTTTTATATTGTTTCTAATTTGTTTCTGATTCTATTTTCTCTACTAGTTTTAATTTTCTAGTTTGAAAATACTCTTTAAACTTTGTTGTTTCTTACCAAGTTTTTCAAAGTTTTGTTTTAAGTATTTTAGGAGTACAAGATGGACAACAGAACGAGCCTTCATGAATTGTGTTGAGGAGCAATCCAGCTTGTGCAAGCTGCATTGAAAATAAAGGTGGCCTTGGCTAAGCCTGGAAATCTCAGAGCTGTAGGCTACGCACATATCCAGCATCCTCAAACTATTGTCCAAGTAGACACCAATCCACTTCTCATCCCAGTCAGATACAGGAAGTTCGAGATCAGTAATAAGAGTTTTCACATCTGTATGGACTGCACAAAGTGTGCTTATTGCTTGTTTCATCCATGAAAGGCTAAGGATATCTTCCTTGCCTCCAGGCTTAAGACTCTTAAGTCTCCCTGCTAATGTCTGCTCAAATGAATTCAACAGAGCATGAAGTTTAGGAGATAAGTATGTGCCCTTGGGTGATAATATCATTTTGAATGGATTTCCAAATTGGGGTCTAGTAGCAACGAAATTACACTAGGTATGTTGTTGTAGTCACTTCTCTATTATTAACTTTATATCTTCGAAGGTTGCAGGAGTGTGGGATTAAAGAGAGAATTTTATGGCCTGACTTGCACAACATGTTTTGGACCAAGTATTTGACGCTAAGGGCATTAGTGATTTGAAGTATTAACGGAGGGGAAATATGCTTAATTTCGCATAGTATGAGGTATATTTGGACCATTCCCGAACAATATATTGTATCCCGAGGACAAGTTTGTGTTAGTACTACGCAGAAGATGAGTGAACTAATCTTGCTTAGGGCGGGTGAAGAAGGGTATCCAGTTGAAATCTATGCACTTTTTTTCTTTCTATTTTTCGTTTAGATGTGTTTGACATACTTATATCTTATTTATCAAAGTGATTTTAATGGGTGAATGACCATATTCCTAGGTAATTTTGCATATGCACTTCCCAGGTTTACTCAACTTACAATGACTTCATATTGTAATGTTTCAAGTGCATGAGGCGTATTCACAATTTTAAAAGGATGAGTGTATTATTATTAAAAGATGCATCTAAGATATAAATTTGTCCGTTTTGATCTTTAAGTTCTTAACATTGAATCGTTAAATTTTAAAAATATAGGTTCAAAATATATAATACTACTAGTTTTAAATTTGAGATAAGAGTCAAAACACATCTAAACTGATAAGATGAGAGATTCGGGAAGACGAAAGTACCTTTGTTTGTATTGTGTGTAGATCTGTAAAACTGTTTGATTTATTGGCCAACTCTTTTTGGCGGTTAGTTTTTGGTGGGAATTCTGAAATTTTTGACTTTCCTTTCAATTTCGAATTTTCGTTAAATTACTAGTGTACCCTCAATTGATTGGGTCACCTTAACCTGACAAATGGTTAGTAAACCTATGGCCCAAATCCAACCACGTACATGTCCTTTTCTTTAGATAGCTTTCATTTAGAATTCGTTTTTTATTTTTAAAAACTTATGCAAATGTAAACTCGAGATAAATTATACTTTTGAATTATTTTACATTTTGGTCTAATGATTGTTTTGCTCGTACTGTTTTCAATCTTAATACTCTATTTGATTGTCAACAAACGCTCGTCATAATTTATATAATAAGAATGTAGTTTAATAATTTCTTATTAGATTTTTTTGTTTGTTTTGAAGAAAGATTATGATTTAAAGTGTCCTTAAATTATTATAGTACGAAAGAAAACATTTATTAAACATATGTCCTAAAATGGGATAGTAGACGAAAACCAAACAGACAAAGTAGAAACTATTGTCCATTTTTTATTTTTCCCCGTATCGTTCCAATGCTTAGACCATCTCCAACCCACCTCTATTTTAGTCTTCATTCTTTATATTTAGAGAGTAAAAATAGAGAATGGGTACTCCAACTCCTCTTTAATTTAATCTCTATTCTTCACTTTTAAAGAGGTGAATATTAGTTCTACAAATTTGGAGAACCACTTTTACATTATTTTATTATTATTTCTATTATTGTGTAATTAACATATTATTTTACTTAAATATCTAATATTCGTAATTTTTTAAAATGTAATATAATATTTTTTAAAATATATTATTTTAACATGTACTATATTCATTCCAAATTGATAATATTTCAATTTTTTAAAATTTTTGTCACTAATATAATTTGATTTTATTATTAATTTTCACTATAAAGAACGTACAATTAAAATGATAAGATGAAAATTTTAATTTTAAAAATACAATACATAACATAATAATTTAACTACAAGATAACAGTCTAATACATAAGATGATAATTTAATTACAAGATAAAAATACAATACATAAGATAATAATTTAAATACAAAAATAACAATACCATAATAACATAATAACTTATTTATCACAACAATAATTTAGTAATCCAATAGGTCATTTCCATATTTAGTAATATTTTGGGGAAAAATAATGTATGGTCCAGAAAATTGTTATAATTGCAGTTGTGCATATTGATTTATTTTTTCAATTATTCATAGTTGTTCTTGTTGCATGTAATTACGAACATTTGGATCACTAATAGCTTCTAAATTTATCCATAAAATTTTATTTTCTTATATAACTTCCTTGAGTTTGATATATCTATCTAGCCTAACGCTATCTTGTTGTTTGGATGTAGCAGACTCTAATTGTACCAATAGAAATTGTGGTAGATGAAAATCTCTGATTTGAACTATTTTTAGTTAGACGTAAAAAATTTAGGATAAAAATATTACTTTTGAACTCCGTAATGCATTATTAGAGTAATTTTGGGGGTAACATAATAATCTTGAAAGTTGAGTATTTATGTAACGTTTATGTAATTGTATTTCATTAATGATTTCACTTTTATTCGAATTGTGCATTAATTTGTATATTATATAATATTTGATTGCAGTTTATGTTATTTAGAAATTTAGAATAAAATATAATTTTATATTAAAAAATAATTTGAAAAAATAAAATATTATATCACATGAAATTTACTCCATAAAGTGATTATTTGAAAAAAAAGAAGCAATAATTTATGTTATGAAATAAGAAAATAAGAATGAAATAGAAATAAAAATATAATATTGAGGAGACAGAAATATATTCTATTTTAGAGAATTGAGTTGGGGTTGATTTTCTAAAAAAATAAAAAATTGAGTTAAAGTTGATTTAAAAAATAAATAAATCTATATTTGGAGACTAATAGAGAATATGGTTGAAGATGTTTAAAAGAAGGTGAAAGTGAAAGTAGTAGACGATTCAATTTACAGCCCACGAAACATGGAGCCCACCCAATTCATACTTCATAGCCCTAACGGCGGTAGAACAGAAAATTTTCAATTTACAATAAAGCTGGACTCCACTTGGTACAGTTCAAGTTTAATCTAGGAACCTTAGGCTTTCGTTTTTTTTTCCAACAAAGGGAGGAAACAGACGAAGATCAAGCTAGGTAAGGCTTTGAATATCTTATATGTATTAGCACATATTATGCGTATAAACTCATGCACTATCTAGGTTTTGATTGTAAAGAAGAGAGAATTTACAAATTTAAGTGTGTCTAGGTTTTGAATGTAAAAAAAGAGAGAACTTACAGATTTAAGTGTTCTTTTTTTTTTGTGTGTGTGCAGTTCTTCGGGATCAGTTTTTTGTTTTATTGGTAATCCGTGTGTTTTAACTTTTGCAGGCTATTTTAAATTCAGAATTTCCCCCATCTAAAGATGGTAGGTTTAACGAAAATCGCTTTGTGAGCTGTAGGGTTAGGGTTAGGGTTTTGAGTTCTTATGAAGCTCTAATTTTTATTTTTCTTCTGTCTCAGTTTCCCCTCTTTTTGCTCAAGACTGCACAGGGGATCCCATGGTAAGCTTTTGAATTCATGTGGAAAAAGGGTAGTGTCTCCTCTTTTTTCTCTCTTCCTTGTTTATTGTTTAGTCTGATCTTATTTCTTTTCGGTGTGATAATGCAGTTAGCTCAATTAGGTTTTTCGAAGTGTTGCATGTTTTGAATGAACCTGAACTTATTAATAACATACAAAAACAACAAACCCTGTGAATAAAATAGTTATGGAATACATGAGTGTGATTCTCCTGTTGTAGCTGTTTGGAAAATTGGAGGGAGAATAACAAAAATGATTTCATGTTTTGTCCTGTTGTTAGTTGAGGCTTTTGGCTAACATTATTAAAGGCAACAGACTTTTTGTTGGTATAGTTTATCAGTTTCTGCATATTTATATTGTATCTCCAAATTATGCCACACGTCCCTGGAGCCCACGAGATTCGAGGGATTTTGAGAATTCGTATGGGATTATTTTATTTGTTCAATTATATCAATCTGGAAACTTTTGTTTTCTAATACAATTGGTGGAGCTAAAAAATGGAGACTGATAATGGTCATTTGGTGAATTGTGATACTTGGATGAAAATCCATCTTCGTGAAGTTATCTGTACGTCAAAGGTAATTCATTGTTTTTTAATATTTTATTGCTAGGTTTTCAAATGTATTGGTGCAAGACCACTTGATTTTGAAAATTTAATGCAGGATGGAGATAGATTTTGGAGAATGCCTGAATGTTATATTCGTGGCAATACCATAAAGTATCTTAGAGTTCTTGATGAGGTTAGTTTATTTTCTTAATTACTATGATTAATAATGCTTTCGTGTAGTATTATTCGTTTTTCACTTGCAACATAGTGTGTATGGCACTTTTGGACTTTGTACTAAGGGAACAGAAGATGGGTGCCTATTTTGTAGTAGTTATTTGTATTATTAAATGGTTGCTTTGCAGGGGTGACTGTAAAATTCGTAAACTAGTTGTGCAATGGCAGTTTCTACTTAAGTAACTAGGACTAAACTACTTGCTTTAGTGCTATCACTCAACATGACAATGAGTTTGAAAAATCTTTAGTTTTCATAGAGAGTACACGTTAATATACACAATAATATTTTTTTACACACCTAACGTGCAGGCTTGAATTCTTTTTCCCATGCCAAGCACACAACTTATTTTCTGATAATGGGTGGGTTGAGAAATGCACCATGTTGAGATGTGAAATGTGTGATCATTTGATGTAAAAGCTTGAGTTGTTAGGGAGAACACATTTTAATTTACTTAATAACATCTTGTACAGAACACTGAGGACGGTCCATTTACACCATTATCGTGGTGCATTCTAGGGGCTTGGTTTGATGTAAGTAGGTGGAATCAAGATACTTGCTAATCTTGGTGTGACCAGACTCATGGATATACTTGTCTAGTTATTCACTCAATGGGGCTTTTAGGGGTGGGTTTCAGTTGTGTTGTTGTAGGCTGAAGTTATGTTACTAGCTAATATGTGGTGTCTGGGTCTATGTGGCTAAACTTACCATGACATGCTTGGATTCAGAGCTGGAAAACATAGAGAACCGGGTAGAAAAGTTAAAAGAGGTATCAGCAGTACCAAGCAATAATGCAGGGAACTGAAGGTTGAACTTATAACACAACTCTGATGTTCCTAAAGGCTAAATAGAAATGCATCCATACTCTTGTTGCCTCTTTTCTACTGATAAAATAGATTTCTTGAAATGAAATCATTGTTGTGGTTGGAACATTAGTGTTTTAGACTTCGAACATAGTGTTCTTCTCAAATAAGATGTGTAGCCAAGTGGTTTTCATATAAGATTCGGAAGTTAGATAATTCTTAGTTCTTAAGTAATTATTTTCCAATATTACTGGCTTATTTTATATAAGATATCCTATACTAAAATAGATTATAAAATGTTAGATATCATAAGGTTGAACCCCTATTGATGTTGTTCTTTCTTGCGTGCTTGTAGTCAACTGTATGTTCATTTCCTCGTGACTGTGAGTAGAACATTCCTGTACGAAGAGAATTGATTACGCTGATGTGATGCAATTTAGCCAAATAAGACATTGTTGTGCTCCCTATGGACCGTTGAATCTGACACCTTACGTAGGAGTGCGACTCTATGAAGCTTTAGCGATGACAAGCTTCCATGTGAAATTTAACGTTTGCAGTTTTGACTAAATAAAGCGGCGGCACATGCTTTCTGCTTTTATTTTCTGTTTACATCGTATTATGCACTCTTCCGCCCTATTTTTTTAATAGCTCATGACAGGCACATATGGGAAGTTATCCTAGCTTCTCTCGTCCATTCGCCGTCCACACATTCATAGTTGATTTAGGAATGACCTTTGAGTTTTGGAGGTTATCCTTTTGTTGATCTTTTAGGAGTGCCAGGAACCATCTTTTCCCAGTGTTTGTTTCCTTTGTTAGATGCTTTTTTTATTTTGTTTGTGTGGGCTTTCAATACTATCTAGGAAGGGAGATGATGTTTGAATACAACTGTTATCCTAATTTTCTGTACTTCTTCTTTGTTTGGACACATGGGGGGTGGGGGGTTTGAAAAGGAGAGGTAGGTGAGAAGAGTTTTCATGGGCAGCTCACATTTTCTTTTAAAAAGTCATAACGTTAACAGATAGAAGAAACTATAAAATGAAAACCCCCTATATCCTTTCAGACGTAAAAGGCATATGTTATCCCCAAGTCTCAATCTGTGGCATTGCATTTCCATGTGAGATATCTTATTCATGCATATATCTATCTAGCAATACATTCAAGCAAATTTCTATGTTGTAACAGTCCTCAAGTATATTTGTGAATGCAATATCTATATAGCCATTTGCTAATCAAATGATTTTGGATGGTATTTATTGTACAGGTGGTGGCCGTGGACTTGGCTAATCGTCGTCATTTAGAGACAAAGAAGCCAGATGACAAGCTAGATATATTGTATCTAATTTTGTTTGTACTTTCAAATTATAAAGTAACTTACCGGAGAAAAGGCCTGCTTCCAGTTATTATTATTTTAAGATGGAATGTATGTAGGCTTGAAATGCTCACTCTCTTTCCTTTGTGAAGACTTATGTAAGAGTGCGTGTCTTGAAAATATTTGGCCTCTCAGTATGTGTGCTATTTTAAATGAAAAATGAGCTAGCTTTCTTTTACCCAATCCGAGAAGCTGAGTTTCTTGTTAAAGACGCCTTTCACTTTATACTTAGAATGTATAACACGAATAAATATTTCTGTACTTGAGATTGGGGAGGCAAACATTTGGATTTAACTATTATTTTCCAAAAGTTGTGATTATTGCTTCTTTATTTTTAGGTTTCAAGTATGCCCAAAATTTGGACGAGTCCTCATTGAAAATATGATATTTTCTTGAAAAAATTACTTATGTAAATAGACATACTTCATTACCATATAAGTATATTATTATTACTATACTTTCAAAATATTACGTATTTTGCCACTAATTAAGAGTTTATTATTATTACCTATATTTTCAAAATATTATGTATCTTATTACTAATTAAGAGTGTCCTACGTATTTTATGCTTAGATGCATGTATTTTTGCTATAGGGTGAGAGGCAAGCGAGATTGGTGAGGGAGGCCAGCAAGATTCGATACAAGCAATCACACTAGATACATGTATTCGTATGTATTTGGTTAGAGCTAGCAAGATTTGCTAGGTATCTAGATACATATACGAAGCAAGTATCCTTTTTTTGTATTTCCTTTTATAATTCCTGTTTTGTTCGAGGTTTGACGAAAGAAAACTTATCCAATAATTGAAGCCACTTCAAGGCAGTCACAGAATCTTTAGTATAAAGACAAACTTATTACTGGATGCAGACAAAGAAGTCAAAAATGTTGCAATATAAAAATATCATTTTGTGTTGGACATATTTCTTTCCTCATCATCAGCCGTTAGTGTAGTTGATGGCTGACATCAAAGTAGATATGGAGCAGCAACATCATGTGATAATTGAATATCAAGAAATAGAGAAAGAAGAAGAAGAAGAATTAAAGCCTCAGAAGACGAAGCGTGTTGCTTCCCTTGATATTTTCAGAGGCCTCGCTGTTGCAGTAAGTTTGACCATATGTATCTCATAGATTCATGTTGCAGTAAGGACGTGAAGATTTCACGAGAAGAGTATTCATGCTGTAACATGATTGATTTTGTATTCTCTTTATCAATTTTAAAGAAGATATTGATTTTTGTATCCTATTTGTCATATCCCCTAATGAAACCTGGCAAATTTTTGAGTTTGTCTTTCTGAATGAATTTAAGTCATTATCTTTATTTAACTACCTCATGTATAATCTCCTTAGTCTCGTGATTTGCTTGGACTAGATTATTGGAACCTGCTTAGTGCATTGGGATGTACATTAATTCAGACATCGAATTTGTAGCTGATGGTCTTGGTTGATGATGCGGGAGGAGAATGGCCTATGATCGGGCATGCACCATGGAACGGTTGCAATCTTGCAGATTTTGTGATGCCATTATTTCTGTTTATTGTGGGAATGGCCATAGCACTTGCTCTAAAGGTTATCTTTGCATTCTTTTTTCTTCTTCCCATTATCAAGAAGATAAAGTAAGGTATTTGGTCCTACTCATTGGTGCTTAACTACTTATTGTGTAGAGAATACCAGAAAAGCTAGTGGCCATCAGAAAGGTGATTCTAAGGACACTCAAACTTCTATTTTGGGGGCCTCCTTTTACAAGGTCAGTTATCTTTCTTTCCTTCCTTTTATTTTATTTTTCCCTTCAATTTTCCATAATTCGTGCAAGATCCATTCTATTCATATAGAATATATCATAGGAAATCTAGGCGAAGTGTTGGACTTACAGTGTCTACAAGCTTCTGAAATAAAGAAGTAACCTTTTCCCCTCTTTCTCTGGTAAGGTTTCACAGTTCTTTAATGCTATTGACTGAATGCATAATCTGCTGCAAACCTGAAAAAGTAATTTAAGTTGTCTTCAGTGGAGAACATCCATAGTAATTAGTCAATGTTGTGCTTTAGAAGTTGATGATTTGTAGGACTTAAACATATATCGGATCTCCTAAAGTAGTCACACGTACTCACCTTAGGGGCTTATTGCTTTATTAGCCCTCTTTTTGTGATTCTGCCAACCTTTGCTATTACAATAAGTTGTAACTACGTTTTAGCTCAGATGAATCTACAGATCCTTTCTCCTTTCTAATGGACAACCTATCCCAGAACGAATGATCAGTAATGACATCTACTGATTAGCTTTCCTTTAGGAAACAGAATTATGTTTGGCTTCAGATAGAAACTTTCAACCAAGTGGGAATCCATTTGTAAAACCTAGTCTTGCATCTCATCTTTCCTCTTCCCAAAATCATTAGATACCTAAACTCATCCTTTGAATTGTGAAGGGGGATATTTCCATGATCTTGACAAGCTAAAATATAGTGTTGACATAAATAGGATAAGGTTGTGTGGCATCCTCCAGTTAATAGTTTCTGATCCCACCCCCTTTTATGTCTTCCTTTTGAATGCTAATATCTTGTGTTGGTCATAATTCTTTTGCTTCTTATCTTTGTAGAGAATTGCTCTCTCTTACTTGGTAGTGGCCATAATAGAAATAACAACAAGACAAACCCAATCCAAAGGACTACCAATGGGGTGGTTCTCCATTTTCAAGTTATACAGCTGGCAATGGTGAGTATTATTTTGGTGTTTCCAAAGTGGTGATAGCATTAAGGATCTCATTACAGAGAGAGCACCAAGAAGCAATATAGAAACCCCTCCTTTTCAATTTCTCATGAGTGGAGCATGCTCTTCTGGCAACCAACCAGGAGAAACACTTTACCTTGGTTGGCACCTTGTTCCTCCAAATCTGCTTCCAAGAGCCAAGTTTACCACCTGGATACTCATTCACCTCCTTAATATATAGCTTGTTAACAGAAAGGCTTCCATCTCTAGAGTGTTTCCATATGATAGAATCTTTTTCTGCTGATAACCCATTAAAACCATTGAGAACATGTAATAGCTCAGCCACTCTCCCAATCTCCCAGTCATTTAAATGCCTTCTAAACACAATATTCCATCCATGAATAGACCATACCTCAACCACTGTTTCTTCCGAATTGGTACACAAGGAAAATAGGTTAGGAAATAAGCCCATCAGTGCCTCATTTCCAATCCAATTCTCTTTCCAGAATAGGATTTTCGTCCCATTTCCCACCTTGTAGACTATGTTTCTACTTAGATCAGGCCACAAATTTCTTATTGTTCTCCAAGCTGACACCCTGTAAGTGCTATTCACAGAGTTAGAGACCCAATTCCCATTCAACCCGTACTTGTTGACTATCACCTCCCTCCACAATGCTTCTTCCTCAGTGTCGAACCTTCATAGCCATTTTGACAAGAGACATCTATTCTGCAACCCCAAGTTTCTGATTCCAAGTCCACCAGATTGTTTGTTTATGTAACTGTGCAGTTTGCCATTTGACTAAATGCAAACCCTTCCCTTCTTTATTCCCTTTCCACAAGAAATCTCTTCTCAGTTTGTCAAGTCTTTCTTCCACTTTGGCAGGCATAGGGAATAAAGACATAACATAAGTTGGAAGAGAGTCCAACACAGAGTTTAT